AGTAAAAGTTTACAGAGCAGATCATCAATTTTATATTCAATCCTCTTCATATAGCAACAGGTAACAGCATTTACCTGCATCCCTCCCTGTATCTCCCTCTACCTTCATCTTTCTTCTGCTGACCTCTCTCTTGTTTTATACTGCCTACCCTGTCACCCATGTTAACATGTGTCTACACACTAGCCTGTGAGTAATTTCCCCCCACCTCACCAGAACTATCATAGAGAGTTTCTATTACTAAGAAAAACTTTCCTGAACTTTTTTTACATTGGTCCTATAGTAGTTCCATGGGAGAAAGATGAGGCTTTTTGCTCCTGTAAAGATTTACAGCCTCGGAAACCCTGTGCAGGGTCACTATGAGTCGGAACCAACTCCACAGTACTCCAACAACAACAACAACATACAATATCTGTCCTTTTGTAATTGACTAATTTCACTCAGCAAATGTCCTCCAGGGTCAACCATGCTGTGAGGTGTTTAGCAAATTCATCATTATTCTTCAACATTTGGTAGTATTCTACTGTGTGTATGTACAACTTTATTTAACCATTCTTCTGTTGATGAGCATTTAGGCTGTCTCCATCTTTTCAGATGTCTCTTGTAGACCGCATATTGAAGGATTCTGTTTTCTTATCCACTCTGCTCTGTATGTCTCCTGACTGGTACATTCAATCCATTTACATTCAGTGTAATTATCAATGGGTATGAATTGATTATTATCATTTTTCTGTGTATTTTTTATGGTACTGCTGGCTTCTTTGTTCCACTTTACAATTTCATTTCTGTTGTGTTAATGTTTACTAAATCTTTCTGATTTTTTTCTTTTTTCTTTTAACGTGCAGGTATACCATTTTTCTTTGAGATTACCCTGCAATTTACTAAATTTTTCCAGCTTAAAAGTCTGTTTTATCTTGAAATCTACGGGAGTTCCTTACCACGTGGAAGTTCTATATCTATACTATTCCCTCTTTTTGCACCATACTTTGGTATCTCTGGTTCCCTAGTTTCAGTCTTGTGTTTTTCTTTAAATCAGCACTAGACTTTGAACCAGGTCAGCAGTTCAGAGCCACCAGCTGCTCCTCAGAAACCCTATGCAGGGTCACTATGAGTTGCCACGGCACTTAATAACAACAATACATCAGGATTGAGTTCTGGGTAGTGCTTTTATGTATGGTAATCTCAGGTGTTACCTGCTGTTGGTTCTCAGTTAGCACTTTTTGAAAGTTGGTCTCATCATCACAAATTCCTTAATTTCTGTTTATTAGGAAATATCTAATTTCACCTCTTATCTGAGGGGCAGTTTTGCTGGGTAGAGGATTCTTAGTTGGCAATTTCGTTCTTTCAGACTTTTATATATGTCATCCTATTGCCTTCTTGCCTGAAAGGTTTCTGCTGAGAAATCTGAGCTTAGTTTCATTGGTTCTCCTTTGTAAGTAACTTTTCATCTTTCCCGAGCTGCTCTCAGGATTTTTTCCTTATCTTGGATTTTGGAAAGTTATGTCTTAGTGATTTTCTTTTGGGTATATCCTGTTTGGGGTTCGTTTGGCTTATTGCATGCTAATCTTCTCATCTTTTATGATTCCAAGGAAGTTTTCTTCCAACAACTCTTTGACAATTTTCTCTGTGCTTGTCTCTTTCTGTTCTAGAATTCTGATCATCCATAAGTTGTTCCTCTTCATAGTGTCCCATATTAACTCTTAAGATTCTTTTTGGATTTTTTCCATTCTATTTTCAGAATGTTCTTCTAGCATACCAGCATTGAGAGATTTTATTGTTAAGCCCACTAATTCTGGCTTCCACTACTTCACATCTACTCCTTTACCCTTTCATTGCATTGTCCATTTCTGAGATCTTCGTATTAATCTTTGTATTTTTAACTGTAGGTTTTGTATTGTTTCAAAATTTATATTTATTTTGCCTGTTTGTTCTTGTAACATTTTTTTCCTGAATTCTTCAAAAGTTTGTTCTATGTTCTCCTTACTTTCCTCAATCTGTTAAAGGTACTAAATTATTCTTTTGAGTTATTTTACAATTAGTTCTATTATCTTTGTTTCGTCAGAAATGTTTCTGTCTGCATCTTGGTCAACTGTTCAAGCCATTTTCTCTTGTTTCTCTGAAGGAGCTAAAACTGTCTGTCATCTTTGGAGTTGTGGGGTTGCCATCTTTGTAAAAACAAAAGAGTGCATTTGTTGGACCTGAAGGGGACAAATCTCTGGGGGGCTCCTGCAACTCATGGACTCAAGAAGTGGTTATAGGAGGGATGTAACAGAGCAGAGTTTCTGGCCCTAGATGGAATTCCTATTGGCCTGGGTGTTAGATGGTCTGGGCATTCAATCTGGAAGTAATTTGTGGGGGTCCTTGGTGGAGCTGGTTTCAGTGTCTGTTAGGATTACATGGAAGCTGAGGTCAAGGTGACTGGTTAAATGCTGGTCTGGTGGCTCTTCAGGTTTTTTCAGTCTGGAGCTGAGACCACCTGAATCCAGGCACCAAAGCACTACTCCAACACACAGCCAGCCCCCACCTCACACTGGTGTGCCACCCCACCACGTGGCTCCAAACTCCTGGAGAACAGGGTCTGCATTGGGGTGGATGAGGGTGGGAGTGTGGGGAAAAAGAAGGAATTGCACCTTTCCTACCACCTATGTGAATCTGCTCTGCCAGACATCCCTCCACTGCCAAAGCTGGTCACGTGATGACGGAGCTGCGTCTGGCCAGCTGTTCATCAGTCTGTCTCCCTCTCACAGTCCCGGCCCAGCCTCTCCTCCCTGCAAGCACTCCATCCATCTCTCTAACCTTTCTTTGCAAGTTCAGGGTGTCAGAATTTTTATCTGTGTCTGTTTTTTTCTGTCTATTGTATCTTTATTGTAAAGGGTATGTATAGTACGTCTGCCTAGTCTACCATCTTGCTGTAAATCCTCCCATAACTTTTCATATTAAAGCCCGATTCTTCCTTATTTAGCACTCACCTACTGTTAATTATTTCTATTCAATGCTAAATGTGCTGCCATTTTTATCCAATCACATTAAAATCTTCCCTTCGTTCTATAAACTCTATTTTTTACCCTCTTTGCAGTTCCTGTTTTGATAACACTTTCTGTCCTGCAATAGAGACATATGAATTTTCTCATGATTGTTGTTAGGTGCCGTTGAGTCAGTTCCAACTCATTATTGTCCTTATACACAACAGAACCAAACACTCCCTAGTCCTGTGCCATCCCCACAATCATTGTTAAGCTGAAGCTGCTGCCACAGGCCCAATCCAACTCGTTGTCGGTTTTCCTCTTTTTCACTGACCAAGCATGATATCCTCCTCCAGCGACTGGTCCCTCCTGATAACATGTCCAAAGGATGAGAGACAAAGTCTTGCCATTCTGGCTTCTAGGGAGCATTCTGGCTGTACTTCTTTCAACACAGATTGGTTTGTTATTCTAGCACACCATAGTACTTTTAGTATTCTTGTCCAAAGCCATAACTCAAATGCATCAATTCTTCAACAGCCTTCCTTACTCATTGTCCAACTTGTGCATGTGCATATGAGGCTACTGAAAATACCACAGCTTGGGTCAGGAGCACCTTAGTCCTCAAGCTGACATCTTTGCTCTTCAACACTCTGAAGAGATCTTGTGCAGCAGATTCAATACATCATTTGATTTCCTGACTCCTGCTTCTTCCAAGTGTGCTGATAGTAGATTCAAGCAAAATGAAGCCTTAGACAACTTCAATCTTTTCTCCATTTATCATAAAGTTATTTACTGGTCCAGTGATGAAGACTTTTGTTTTATTTACATTGAGATGTAGCCCATATTGAAGGTTGTGGTCTCTGATCTTCATCAGTAAGTATTTTAAGTCTTCTTCACTTTCAGCAAGCAAGGTTGTATCATTGCATATCATAGGTTGTTAATGAGTCTTTCTCCAATACTGATGCCAAGCTCTTCTTCACATAATCCAGCTTCTCCTATGATTTGGCTAAGCCTAAATAAAATTACTATGCAGAGCCAGATTCCTACAATATAAGAGAACTACAAAAAGTTGGTGAAAAAATGGAATTAAAAGATACTGGGAGTTTTCCATGAACTTTTTAAAGCCCTCTCATGTTGTAGGAATCTGGCTCTACGTAGTAATTTTTTTGAAGCCTCACACTAATAGGAGGAAGGCTTATTTACTAAACATATGCTGGATTATTCACAGGGCATTCTAATGTAACTGAGCCCTTAAGAACCTTGGATTAAGAACTGCCATGCTACACCAGATCAGTAACCTACTTGGGGTACTTGTTGGTGGTCCTAAAACTTCAAACCCACACCTGCTCCTCAGAAACTCTATACAAGGGTTGCTATGAGTCAGAATCAATTCGAGGGCACGTAACAACAACAGCAAAAGAGATTAAGTTGGTTTACCGTAGCAACACACTTAAACATAAAGACCCATACATTATTATCACCTGTGACATTATCCACATGTTAACACAACCACAAGTGCAAGGCTGCAGGTTCTCCAAGTGAGGTCATTTATGTAAATGTGTTCTATAAACAATGCACTACATATACATTTAAGAAATTCCATCATCACTTTTGTCGTTAAGGATTTCGCTTTACCTACCTAAGGGGAAAACATGTTAAAGGTTCTTGGAAGCAGACAGAAGACATGAACTCTTGGCTCTATGTTTTAATTCTTTCTTTTTTTCAGTCCATCAGTGAATATTTTCTCTTCTTCCTATTATGTTATGCATATGGTATTTTTGCAGCAACAGATTTCCCCATTCCTTCAGCTTTCCTTTATATTTCTTGTCTTGAGATAAGAGACACATGAATCCTTTAATGCTTGGTCACCCCTAAATGAAATTAGCATGCAGAGCCAGATGCCCACAACATGAGAAGACTTAAGGTTCTGTACCAAATAAAAAGGAATTTGGAGATCAAATAAAGAAATGTGCACAGTATGCCAACAAATGTGAAGAGCAACAATACAAACATCTGTTAACAAGCTAAGTCAGGATTTACCTTCAGGCTCACTCTCGGACCCTGAGAGACTACCATAGCTGTTCATCAGTGAACACAGGGCTGGGGTCACTTCTTTGGGTATGACAGTACTGTGTGGTTTGTCTTCCTTATCAGACTCTGAAACAGAATGGAAAAGCATCTAAGACAAAAATCATGTAACCATCAAAAAAATAAAAGCTGACAGTCTCCCATCCCCCACCAAGATCTGTTACTTAGCGAAATGTAATCTCTGCCCATTTCCTTAAAATTTTTCAAAAACAAATTCTAGACGACCTAAAACAATGTCCTCTGGTCTCAGTCTTCATGTTCAGCAAAGCTATTTGCCCAAAGAGGAGTGTGGGCAAGTGGAAGCTATACATAGCTCAAATACTTACGCTTCATAGGTTATGTATGGGCTTTTTCTTAATTAACTTAATTACACAGGCTTTGCTATTAATATACAGGTAGCAGATAGGCCAGAAATGTATTTAACTTCTTTGGATTAGGGTCATTGACTCTGAAAATTAGGCATAGTAATAAATAAAATACAAAAATGTTCACCCTTTTTGTTGTTCTCAAAACACAAATCATCTTTAAACTAGCCTATAGATTTAGGCTAAATCAAAGAATTTTACTAAATGAGCTCAATATTCAGAACTTCTAAGAACTTAAGAAAACAAACCAGGCATGAGAATTTAGCAAGTAGCATTAAAGGGCCTGCCAAAGGTAACATGTTGGATCAGAGCCAATCCAGCCTAGCTGTAGCCTCAGGACACCTATTACATTTATTTTTGGCAGCTCCAAAAATGTACTATATCTATTCTAGACAACCAATAAAAATAAAGTCTGACTGAAGAATGAGGACAATAAGTAACTTTCTATTTAATGACCTAACTCAACCTGCAACCGATGTGAAATGCTCCAAGACTGAGCTTTTTCAGTGTTCACCCAGTCAGTCAAGGGGAAACCCAAACACACCAGTGGGAAAAGGGAGTACATTTTATGTGAATATTAAACTACTTCCTTCTGGTGGATAAAGTGAAATGCCCTCTCCTTTGCCTATCAATACGATGACTCAGCACTGCACCCTCCCAAAACTGTTTCTTGTCAAATTTATAAGATTTTACCTGTCTCCTGGATTAACAAAAGGAAGGGAAAACAAGATGTTTAATACACACACGTCATATAGGATGATCATGTACTCCTTCCTTCTAAGACCCAAAGAAACTTGCTCTCCAGCATAGAGATGCTAAAGCAAATGGAAGAAATGAGGAGTTACAATAGCTGAACAAGAAAATTTCAAAGGTCTGCTCGAGAAGACAAAGTCAAATATTGCAATGAAATGTGCAAAGATCTGGAATCAGCATTTCTCAAGCTGGGGGAAATGAAGAAAAAATTCAAGCCTCAACTTTCATTATTGAAGGATTTGCTGGGGAAATTATTAAATGATGCAGAAAGCATTAAAAGAAAATGAAAGGAATACAGAGTCATTGTACCAAAAGGAAATGGTTGATGTTCAACCATATCAAGAGGTAGCATCTGATCAAGAGCCGATGATACTGAAGGAAGAAGTCTGTTGCAGACCGTGTAAGACTAGTCAGAGGTTCGAGGCCCTCTAGGGCCGAGTGTAATAAATGAGGCCACTGGCAGTTAATGGCAAATTGCTTTCATATTAATATTCAGTTATATATATTAAATTAATACACGGAGCCTTTGACAATCCACAGATAAATGTGATATTTTCCTAAAGCCGAGACTAAAGGTTGCAAGGTTAAGCCTTTCTCCAAAGGATTAACTAAAAATATCTTAGCTACTTCACGGTTCTTTGTTCTATAGACAAAGAACCCATCCTCCCTAATCCTTTTCCAGGTGCAGCCCATTCACCTGGGCATCCTGAGTCCTCCTGAAAACCTGGCTCAGGAAGACGAAACAGCAGGACTCCGCCCAAGCTTTTGTCATTACTCTCACCTTCCCCCAACTTAGCTCAGGGGCTATAGATATGTTAATTGGGCCTGAGAAACCAAGTTGCTGGCCTGAGATTCAAACCAGCGAAGTACGATGTAAAGTTACCTGAATGTATGGAAAAGTACTGATGTTAGCTGTACCTTGCCTAAGTCCCTCCCAGCTTAGTGTGAAGCTCCTCCCCTAAATAAAACAGAGGCCCGGGCCTCCCCAGGTGTGCATTACTGGTTGGAAGGCATGGAGTAAAGATGGCAGTGCATTACTGGTTGGTAGGCATGTGGTAAAGATGGCAGTGCTCCCAAGCCTGCCCACAGTGATGTATCCACCCTGGCTTTGGGGTGCCTCATTGTCTCTCTCTTTGTCTCTTTCTGTGTATTTTTGATATATATGAATCGCTGTCAGGTATCCTCTCCTCGTGAACCGAACCCCTATGTCGAGGCGGGTCCCCAACAGAAGTCCAAGGTGCACTGAAGGAATTGGCAAAAAACAAGGCACCAGGAATTAATGGAATAAAAATTGAAATCTTTCAAGAATTGAAATGAGGCACTCACTCATCTATGCCAAGAAATTTGGAAAACAACTATGTGGTCGACTGATTGGAAGAGAACCATATTTGTGCCCATTCCAAAGAGAGGTAACCCAACAGAATGCAGAAATCATTGGATAATCTCTTTGATATCCCATGTGAGTAAAGTTTTACAAAAGGTAATACAGAAATGGCTGCAAGCATACATTGATAGAGAACTTCCAGAGGTTCAAGCCAGATTCAGAAGAGGACATGGAATGAGGAATATCATTGCTGATGTCTGATGGATCTTGGCTGAAAGCAGAGAATACCAGAAACATGTTTACCTGTGCTTTATTGACTACACAAAGGCTTTCGATTGTGTGGATCCTGACAAGCTGTGGACAACATTGCGAAGTATGAGTATTCTGGAACACTTAATTGTGCTCATGAGGAATCTGTACATGGACAAAAAGATAGTTGTTCGAACAGAGCATGGGAACACTGAATGGTTTAAAATTGGGAAAAATGTGCGACAAGGTTGTGTTCTTTCACCATACTTGTTCAACCTGTATGCTGAGCAAATAATACGAGAAGCTGGGTTCTATGAAGAAAAACGTGGCGTCAGGATTGGAAGAAAACTCATTAACAACGTGCGATGTACAGATGATAACAACTTTTCTTGCTGAAAGTGAAGAGGGCTTAAAACATTTACTGATGAAGATCAAAGAGCACAGCCTTCAGTATGGATTACATCTCAATTTAAAGAAAACAAAAATCCTCACCACTGGATAAACAACATTCTTATCAATGGGGAAAAGACTGAAGTTAAGGACTTCATTCTTCTTGGATCAACTATCAACACTCATGGAAGCAGCAATCAAGAAATTAAAGGACAGATTGCATTAGGCAAATCTGCTACACAAGTGTTGAAGTGTTGAAGAGCAAAGATGTCAGCATGAGGACTAGGTGCGCCTGACCCAAGCCATGGTATTTTCAATAAGTTCATAAGCATGTGAAAGCTGGACAGTGAATAAGGGAGACTGTAGAAGAATTGATGCTTTTGAGTTATGGTGTTGGAGGAGAATATTGAAAGTGCCATGGGCTGCCAAAAGAACAAACAGATCTGTGTTGGATGAAGTACAGCCAGAGTGCTCCTTGGAGGCCAGGATGACCAAACTTCGTCTCTCATACTTCGGACATATTGTCAGGAGAGAATCAGTAACTGGAGAAGGATATCATATTTGGTAAGGTGGAGGGTCAGAGAGGAAGACAAGATGTATTGGCAATATGGCAGAATCAATGGGCTGAAGCATGGCAACAATTGTGAGGTTGGCCCAGGACCGGGACTGTTTCATTCTGTTATGCATGCGGTTGTTATGAGTTGGTACCAATTCGAAAGCACCTACAACAACAACAAGACAGAGAGAGTGGGTACCAAAAAGTACAACACTTGTGCATCATGCTTTTTAGAAACACAACTCCAGTTCCTCTTTAGAAGGCATCACACCCACTATTAATTACAAGAAGAAATCAAGACTCAAAATATATGAGAAACTTTTCCTTCATGTAAGATAATGATAAAACAGTTGGTCCAAATTAAAATCTTGGGGTATTTCAACATCTAATTCTTTAAGAGCTCTGGTAGCATAGTGGTTACGAATCGGGCTGTGAGCCTCAGGGTCAGCAGTTCGAAACTACCAGCTGTTCTGCGGGAGAAAGATGAGGCTTTCTGCTCCCGTAAGGATTTGCAGCCTTGGAAACCCTGTACAGGGTCGCTATGAGTCGGAACCGACTCCACTGCACATAACAACAACAACAATTCTTTAACTACATATGAGGGGCTTCAAAAAGCTCACAGAAAAATTCTATTCTTTTAATTCTCCACCTTAAATGTAAAGTCCATTTACTAAAATGATGCCAACTTATCAGAATATTGCCATGGTCAAAATTAAATATGTACATAACGTCTCTTTCCAGCTAGAAATCATTCTGTTCCTTTTTACAGAAAAACTGGAAACCATCTGACCCTCTCCAGGTACTTCAATCCATCTTTCAAGACCTAATGTATCAGTGAAATAAATGTTCCCCAAATTTACCAGAGTTCTCCACATTGCCAAATCTAGAGGTCATTTCTTGGTCCTCACCTTACTGACAGCAATCATGTTCTACTTATCTAGACCCTTATGACCTTTCCATTATTTCCACTAGGAAAACCATAGCACAGCAACAACACCACCAGCGTCTCTTGACTGGACAATTCCTAGAGGCTTCTGAGAGCTCTCCCTGACACACCCCATTCACCACTCTTATCTGTTCATCTCTACTTGAACACATCAGCTCTATGCTCAACTGCAGAGTAAAATCCCAAGCACTTCCATGGTCTACAAGACCTTCTTGATCCGATCCCCATTTACCTCATCTAAAACCCTACCACTTCTTGATTGCTTGCTTGTTCCCGGAGCACATGAAGCATGCTCTCCCCTCTGCCTGGAAGGTTGTCCCATAGGGTGCATTTGGATTCTTGCTTACATGTCATCAGGAGAGAGGCCTTCACTGACCACCTCTAGAAAGTAGTCAGCACACCCCTTTCTCTGGCCATCATTATCTATCCCTCTACCTCACCCTACTCTTCTCAGTGATACTCATAAAAACTCAACACTCTATGTAG